AGAAGAGAAGACTCCCTGGAAAAGACCCTGATGTAGGGAAAGTGTGAAGGCAAAAGGAGAAGGGGCCGTCAGAGGACTAGACGGATGGACAGTGTCACTGAAGCTACCAACATGAATTCGACCAAACTCCGAGAGGCAGTGGAAGACAGTAGGACCTGGCGTGCTCTGGTCCATGGGGTCACAAAAAGTCGGACACAATTTAATGACTAAAGAACAACAAAGAATGCATAGCACAGTCTCTGGTGCCCTTTTGTGGCCAGTTCTAGGGATGTGAACATATTTTTCCTGTTTTTTCCCTTTCACCATATTCTCTCTCTCTCTCTCTCTCTCTCTCTCTCATGTTCACTGTTATCCATGGTTTTCAGTATCCACAGTGGGGCTTGGAACCAATCCCGAGTGGATATACAGGGGGTGCTACTCAATTTAATACATCCTTAGGTTTAAGCAAGATTTCATATCTTTTTTCTCCTTGCAGGTCTTGCTTTTATGATTGTATTCTTCTGCAAGGGGACATCCACTTAAATTGATTGTTGGGAGAGTGAGACCAGACAAAAGAAAATATTTCTTTACCCAGCGTGTTGTTAGTTGGTGGAACTCCTTGCCACAGAATGTGGAGATGGCATCTGACCTAGATGCCTTTTAAAGGGGATTGGACAGATTTCTGGTCAAAAAGTCCATCACAGTTTACAAGCCATGATGGGGATGTATAATCTTCAGGAGACAGATATCTAGTTGTCTGGTGTGTTCTCAGAGGCATCTGATGGGGCCACTGTGAGATACAGGAAGTTAGACGAGATGGGCCCTTGGCCTGACCCAGCAGGGCTCTTCCTATGTTCTTATGTTATGTCCTTATGTTCTCATACTTCTTGGTGAACTAGACAGTCAGCTGCTTTGATTTGGGAGCTGAACTAGATGCTGGAGCTCTCAATTGCTAATCTTTAAGCTGTACCATCTATATTTCCACCCCCATGGATTTTCCATGCATGTTGATTGCCTTTTTTTAAATGGAAACTTTAGTGGCTCATGACACTAGTGACTAGGAGGTGGCTGAGTTAACTTGGTCAAGGTAATGAACAGGGGCAGCAGCCCCCCAGTTCAGGCGGCAGATGCTGAAGGCAGGAGTCGATACAGTGCCGTGTCTGGCCTTGCTGAGTCCTCTGACTGTTCTTCTGTGCTGGAGGACAGAACTGTGTATGCCATACAGCCTGTCCTCCTTTCCTTTGCTAGCCTGTTGCCTTCAGGTATAGCAGAAGATGGAATCCCATCAGTAGTCTAGATTCAACTGGAAGTCCATTTACCTTTTGCATATAGCATAAGGGAGAGAATGCCGTCTTGTCTTTTGCCTCGTTATTGCAAGTATCTTTGCTTGGCTCTGCTAATGAATACCCTGGTCCTCATAACATATAGCCCTAGTAATGAGTACAAGGGATGAAGTGGAGTATCCATAGAGACCAGTGGTCTTAACAGGCCCCATTCCCTGGTTATTCCTCCAGCAGTCGGGTGTGGTATCAGGCAGATAGCAAGCAGCTATTGCTCTCTCTGAAGACCTCCCTGAAATGAGCCGGATGCTTTTAGTTGTGGGAGACTGGTAGGGTGGGGGGAAGTGTGGGAGGCTCAGGGAGCACTACTGGTTGCACAACATGTGTTCCTGCTATTAGACTACAGGCAGGTACTAGATTTGTATTAAAGTGGGAAATCCCCCAGGAGGGTGGGGGTGGGGAGAAGTGGAGAGATGCAGCAGCCTCGTCACCGATGCTCCAGCCTTTCAGGGTGGGGAGGGATCTCAGGCTCCCCGCCACCAGCAGCTGTGGGCTGGGAGGTTTGCAGCGACTGCAGTATGCATAAATCAATGCGTGGGGGTGTTAAAGTTAGAGAAGAGGTGGCTCTGCAGAACGGAGTGCTTTGTACACACAGCACCAGCCCAGACGAGAGGAGCAACACCAGAGAGATGGGGAGCATTTACAAAGGTAGGGCTGGCTCAACCGAAAAAGGGAAAGGGGAATGCTGAAGCCTTTTCTTGTTGCTGCCGTTGCTGTAACAAAGCCTTTCTCTAGAGGCTTCTTAAGCCTACTCCTTCATTGTTTCTGATTCCTAAGCTAGCATCGCTGTCACCTTGAGCCAGTGCAATGCAGCTCTTCAGGCTTGCACTGCAAAAGAGAAGAGAAGAGAGGAGTCTGCTATTTGCATTCAGGTTCTTTGGAAGGAGATGATGCATCCCCTTTCTACTCCAGGGTGATTCCTTACGGGCGACAGCTCTGTTAGAATAGTGTGCTGTGTTTTGGAAATGACGCAAGAGGAAGCATGTTGAGCTGCTCAAATTACAGAGGGATTGGCAGGGTTTGCATTCGGCATCCTTTAGCTGCTGTTTTGAGAAGGCTGTGGGAGACGGGGGAAATGATTTGACTAAAATTAGAAAGAGTTAGGGCATGGGGTTATGGATTCTATTAAAGAGCCTCCACATTTTCTTCCATGATGCAATCATTGCCCCTTCTCTATGGGAAATGTTCTTTGGAAAAGCTAAGGCTGTTTTGGAGTCCCCCCTCCCCAAAACAGGGTGGATTAACAATGATGCTATACAGTATATCCTGCAGGTCAGTGCCATTGCTGAGCTGGGTCCATTACCATGTTCCAAGTCTTTGAAAAATATGGATGAGATAAAGGCCTATCCCAGCTTTCAGCAACATGTTGCTTGCTGGATGTGTAAGGCTATAGCTCCAACTCACCTTAGCCAATGAGTCTGGGGAATTGTCCAACACACTAGGTTGACAACAGTTTGGGGAAGGCTGGCCTACTCACTTTAAGTCTCCAGCAGCTTGAAACATGGCTTCTTTTCTTGGCTGTATCAGATTTAGAATTTCATTGCAAAGAATGGCCAACGTCTTGCCTTGAAAGGCGCTGAAGAGCTTTGAATAAGGAAGTGAGGAATGGGTGATGGCTTTAGTGGCTTGTCTCTTCTGTGCGACATTGTTGCAGGACTGGTTACACTCCTGTAAAACCCCTCTCTGCTTTGCAGTCCTTTCAGGCATGCCGATTCCCTGAGTCAGGCAGGGGTCACTGGTCTGTGCCACAGCAGTAGAATGACTAGGCACAATATTGGAAAACAGGAGAGAAGTAAAGAAAGAAAGACTGTCTGTGCTTGTATCATGGCATCTTGTTCGGAGACCAGGGGGGCATATTGGCCAAAGAAAAGGCAATCAGGTTACAGGAGAGGTCTTGGTCCCTATAGCTTTTGATAGTTGTGTAGAGGATGGAAAGCCAAAGGATGCAGTGTGTCTTAAAACTCTAGGACAAACTACTTCAGCCGAATTATTAACCTTTAAGTCACAGGAGCTCAATTCTCCTCAGCAGACTGGTCACTCTTGACAAAATAGTACCAATGTTGGAGAAAGGCCTTTGTTGTGGTTGTCAAACTGCAACTGAGCGATTGCATATGGCCCTCCGGCCCTCCGTTAAGAAGGAGGCTGGATAAATGTTTTCCCTCAGCTTGATGATCCTTCAGATCCTTTGCCTAGCTAGCTTCCTCTCTTACCTGCTAGAGTTCAGAAGATCCCCCATGCTATTTCACCCCATAGCATGTGGGGAAATTGAGGACAGCTAGTGAGGGAGGGAAGTGGTAGCTTTATCAGTCTCATCCTTTTGCAACATGACACCCCATACCATCAGTACATGGTGGATTCTTCTGAGATGTGTGGGCAACGTGAAGCCCTCCAAATGTTGTTGCATGGCTGCTCCCATCAGCCCTAGACAGAATGCTGGGAGTTGTAGTTCAGTAAAATATGGAGGGCTTCTCTTTGCCCAACCGTGCTTTAAGAAAAGTTTGCATGAGACAGCTCAAGATAATATCATTCCAAGAATAAGAATGAGGTTGTGCTTCAAAAGGACTTTAGGGACAAATGGTATTAATCATACCAAACAAGCCTATAGGAAAGTATTCATTTGGGCATCTAAGTTGAATTATGAGTCCGTATTCTATTTACTGCTGCTCTTATTGCTACAAGGAAAGGGATGGGAGAAAGACGAGATTAATCTACATTGGAAGTGATTTTCTAGAGGAGCACCTGGGGCAAGTAAGTAATGCAGGAGAGGAACAAAGGAGAAATTATTAGGAAAGAGCAAACCTAATAATCTGTCAAATCCATCTACTTCGATGCATATTTCCGGCAGTATACCAGCAGAGGGTATGGCCGAGATAGTGGTGCTAATTTTGGCTTCAGTGACGTAGCATTTCACAGTAGAGTGGTGCACAGAATTTTAGCAGGTGTAAGAAAATGCCTCTCTTGCTAAAGCTATCCTCTACTCTAAGTTTGGCCCAGTTCACAGGGTTGTTATGAAGGTAATGGGAAGGAGGAGAACCATGTACAGTGCTTTACCCTCAGCGGACAAGAAGCAGGATTCAAATACAAGGAATGAAGGAATAAACATAGTTAAAGAAAACCCAAAAAGAATTACAGTTACATTGATATTTCAGCAGCATTGGTTCAGGCATCATCATCTTGATTAGAGATGGGGGCCTCATATTCATATATGAATATGAAACACACACACACAGACCGGCTGCCTCTATATCTTCCCCGTCTATTTGTCAGATTACCTCCCAGTCCGAGACCCTGCCAGACCACTTACCACATGGGGGCCTTATATTCATATATGAATACGAAACACACACACACACCGGCACAGGTGGTTGGCCTGATTACCTCCCACGCCGAGACCCTGCCAGACCACTTACCACATGACACCTGTGGCTACCACAATCTCCTTTGCCCCTATTGCTGCAGTAGCTCAGCTGGCACAGCCCCACCTCCCTGCTCACCCAGCCACTCCGGCAAGGGTGGGGGGGAGGACGAGTCTCCCTGCTGAGCCACAGGGAGGTGGGGCTGAGGCAACTGAGCTACTGCCATGATTGAGGCACAGGAGATGATGCTGGCCATGTGTGGTCTGGCAAAGTCTGGGGGTGGGAGGTAGTCAGGCCTTTCACGTGTGCTGGGCAGAATTGTATTTGTATATGAATATGAAGCCTCCATCTCTAATAGTCACCTGTGCTGGGCAGAATTGTATATGAATATGAAGCCCCCATCTCTAATCTTGATACATATATCAGGAGAGTGTTGATGGTTGCCAAGCTTGGGTGGCTTTAAAGGGGGATCTGAGGGATGATAAGGCTATCCATGGCAGCTGGTCATGATTATTGTATAGTGCAACCCCTGTCTCCCAGTATTCTCCAGATTCTATTGCCCCATTTCCTGTTGGTGGCCTTCTATAGGCATCTTTGTTGGCCATGGTGGAAAGAAAATGCCAGATTAGATGAGCCTCTGAGCTGATGCAGGACAGCCGTCTGCACCTTCGACACATGATTGTCAGGCCTACAGAATGCAAGCCTTTTTATAATTTTCATGTTGGAAATCCAGTCTTTCTGCATTTTCAAACATATAGTGATAGTAGAGAGTGCAGTAAGGGTGCTTTCCATTGTACATAGTTCAAATCTGCTGAGTTGCCCTCAATTCATTTACAGTTGGATAGCTCCATTATACCAACACCCGAACACACAGGCCCAGGTTGGTTTGTGCAATTTAAACATTTAAGCAGAGGCAGCTAATTTTACATTAGGTCACAAGATCCACTTCATGCCCTATTTAGGTGTCCATTATAATGTTTTCTGAGTGTGTGGAATTGGCAGATTTGCTAAGCTGAAAGGTTAGTCTACTATTTGAATATATTTAGAAATCTTCTATGCTTCCTATGCCAGATATTTATTTGTCTCTTTCATGGGACCAAGTTTCACATTAGCTGTTTGCCTAATTATACCAGGTAGGAACTGACAGTTCAGTTAAACTTTAAAAGAAAAAGGCAAAGTAGAATGATGTTGGGGGGAGGATTGATTGAGATTATTTCTACATAACTGAAAGAGTGTTCAACCTTTTCCCAGTAGCACATGTTTTTCTCAGTTGACCTCCTACTAATGATTCTTTGCCCTTCCAGGTAAAATATACTAATCACACACATTCATACTTAGGTTGGTGTAGGAGTTGTTGCTGGATCTTTGAAGTACAGACAATCAGCAGGTAGTTGGAATGTATGCTAGAGAACGTATCCGGTTCTGAGACTGCCACCTCAACCTGTTCCTTGAGCCATAGACTCATAGAATGGTAGAACGTTCTCAGAGTCCAACCATCTGCTGATTCAGAAATGTCTCCTTTAATTGTCCAAGGTAGTTGAGATGTTTTTTGTCCAAGGCAGTTACTGTAGTTAGTAAGTTGCCTTACCGAAAGGAGGAAGGAGATGTAGGTTCTCTTCTTCAACTCGGTCTGTATCATGTGGGTCATGTGAGAACAGAATAATTTTGCCCAGGATGAAGTTCTTCTCTTTGAAATACGCAAAGGAGTCTATATGGTGTGGGAATTGATATGTTGGTTCTCCAGACATTTTTAATCTGGAAGTCCCATAGTCATCACCAACAACCATGCAGGTTACGGCTGATGTGTGTTGTAATCGAAGAACATATGAAAGATCACATGAGTCCTATCCCTTTAGTCTGGGAACCTATTAACCTTAGATGCTCATGTAGCTGTGGATAGAACGTCTGAATGAACAGGAGCTTGGGAGGACAGGCAATCCAGGGCCTTGTCTCCAGTGCACTTGTAGCATTGAGCAGCCATTCTCCATCTTAAGACCAGAATGGTTTTTGAATGTGGGTTTATGTGTAGCCAAGATGTACATCCATGCATGAAAAGGAGTTTTTAGAAAGTTTGGAGGGGCCCTAAGGTTTGGAGAAAAATCACTTTAATAGGAAAGGGGAGGGAAAAAAACTATGGGAGGAACCCTGAGACAGACCAATGAAAATTGTGTATGTGAGCATGCTCAGTGGGTACTGAATGCTGACTCACTGCTGGGGAGAGAAAGATAAATTGGAGAGAGGAGGAATTGAATGGAATATTCTAGAGAAGGTATAGTTGGTTCAAACCCTCAG